AGATTGATAAATCTCAATTATAAAATAAGAATTGTGTGCATTGATTTCCTAATATTGAGAAACATTTGTAATAAGTGATTAATGATAATTGGTTACGATAGAGTAGATTGATAAATATCAGGAATTTATTGTCACTTGTGAAACTTAGATTTTTTGAAGTGTAAATAATTTTTACATAAAAGGACGTATCAATTTTGAGAAAATGATTCTGGAAGAGAAGTAATTTTCTTTTGACATATCAAGTGCCGCTTGATTGTAAAATTTTACAAACTGTCGGTCGTAAAATAAAAGGAAGGAGTGCATAAGCGTCAAGAGAGCAGCACGCCGGCCTTGGAGAGGTCTTTGTCGACGCAAACGTTATTAATATTCTACGCCTTCGCGTCTTCTTCTAGACGTTGTTTGAATATAAAGGATAATTCTGACCATCTTCACATTGCTGTTTTGTACAATATATAATACTTTCTCATGCATGTAATTTCTCTTCTTTCGCGATAATCTTTATGCTTTATAACGGCGACGGAAATATCAAATTTTGAACAACAAATTTGAATAATGATTTAAATAAGAGGTAGATAAAACTATAATAATTAACTATAATAATTAACTATGTTATTTTCACAAAATTAAAAAGAAAAAGAGGATAAGTATCATGAAAAGAATATTCAGTTAAATATAAATGGCTTGTCGAAGTTCTTCTAATTACTTATCACTTATCATAATTATATGTATCGCAGATTGCAATGTTAAACATGTTGCGTCGATAGCAACAAGACTGTGATTTGATTTATGCAATTATGTTCGATTTCAGAGAATAATAACTCTATCATATAATATTATTGTAATTGATTATATTAACCCTTTACAAATCAACGATGATCTATTGGACTAATCTGATCAAGAGTTGAATAATGTCAATATCCATAAAGTTTATGATTGCAGGATATTCAAATTGAATAAAAAGTATTTCCATTATGATTAAATTAAGAGGTTGGCAAATGACAAAAGCGAAAAATCTTAAAAAATGTTGAGTCAACAAGCGGAAGTAAGATAGTTCAGTTCATAAGTAAGACGATTCAGGTCTGTGCATCATATGAGTCATTGAGAAGCAAACAAATGCGATAGCTAATTTTTCCTGTTTCTTGTCAATAAGACATACGTCGATGAGTTTCGAGTTTCAACGTCAATGCAAATCGATGTTACGTATAAAAGTCTATACGCTTGTTAATTTTAGAATCTCCTTTCATTTAAGAAGACTCGAAGCAACGCGACACTGCAAGATGCACTCGTACAACATCAACAGAACGTTTAAGAGACGGATGTTTAAGTCAAGACTAACAGTTAGGTACGGTACAGTTTGTAGCCGGAACAATCTTTTACAGTAACTACTGGTTAGCGCATATTATATAACGCACATTACGTGCACGTGTGGATTCCACGTGTCGGAAAACGCATAAATCGCAGAGACACGTTCGCGGAAATAGAAATAGCGGTTTCACAAAGAAATCAGACACTTAAACATGTGATAATCATACAATGCATACGCACGATAATTTGGTTTGTGACCGATATAATATGCAATCTTGTATACAGGGTGTCAGGGCAATCTCTTCCCAAAAAAAGCTCTTGTAGCTTATTTCGAGAGCTTTTCAAAATTATAATAATTTTTTTTCATCAAGTACTTTTCAAGTTATGAAGCTTGAAATAATCTCTTAATTTTATATAAATTATAAAATATTCATTTTTAGATTACCTTAATACTTTTATGTACAAAATAATGAGAGGAATCAATTGGTGTAAAGAAAACACATAATTGTTTCGAAAAAAAATATATAATTGTTAATTGCAAATTACATATTTTTTCTTCAAAACAATTATGTGTTTTCTTTACACCAATTGATTCCTCTTATTATTTTATACATAAAAATATTAAGGTAAGATAATCGAAAAATGAATATTTTATGATTTATATAAAATTAAGAAATTATTTCAAGCCTCATAACTCGAAAAGTACTCGATGAAAAAATAGTATAGTGTTTTGAAAAGCTCTCGATGTAAGCTACAACAGCTTTTTTGGGGAAGAGATTGCCCTGTATAATTTACATAAAAATAACAAACGAAATTTAAAATATTAATACCATCAAAATGGGTAACTTTTTATTTAAATACATGATTAATTTGAGAATATTCCTTCATTTATTTCTTTTACCGAGTGTGATTCATTTTTCTCATAGTCTACGATATAATTGAGATTTGTTGTATATAATATTTAATACGAAAATAATGATTTAATTGTGATCAGAGGGACCTGTTCAAATATCATTATTATCTGTGACAATAACGGTTTCTATTGGTTGGACGTGATTGCGTGTCTTATCAACAGGTATTTGTCTCCGCGAGCTTGTCATGCGTATCGTAACTTTTTGTCTTTCTTGCCCACACGCGCCTGATACGCAACAAATCATTCGTGCTCGAGAATAAATGAGTGTACTTGTGGACTTGAGCAAGATTCGCGTCTGTTAGCTTTGTTCTGTTGAAAGCTATCAAAGCGCCAAAGAGCCACGTATATATCTGATTTTGAGGAATACGTAATTTTCATACGTTCGTTATCTCCTATTCAAACGAGTGTCATCATTTATTATTGGCTAGATTTCGTATACATGTCACAACAGGATGTTTTTGATTAGCGACGATATTGTCGCTATTTATATATATGTTTGTCGAATGGCGGAAGGGAAAGATTTCTGGTAATTTCAGCGACACTAAAACCGCAAACACGAATCAATTCCTCTACTAGAGATTCTTTTTTTACGATCGGCACGCGATTGGAAGGAAAAATGCCAGGCAGAGCTCACTGCTGGCTTAAATATAAAAAAAAAGGAACGGACGATTGCTGGATCGAGTGACGATGAGAATATCTATGATTGGATCGTTAATATTCCGATGACGATCGGTCCGTGTCCGGACTGTGGATCCGCGATGACGAAGGCCAACATATGAGATCTCTGAGCTACGGTGTATTTCCGTGTTGAGCCACATACATTATGTACAATTTCCTAGTATAATCTACGAGAGAACGAGGGAAAGATATCGCGTGCGGTTCGATGACTTGGCATATTGCCGAAGTAAGATTACTGGAGCATCAAATCGTCAAGATCAACCGGATAATGAATTTCGTATTTCAATTTCCTATTATCCTACCTTATTCTTCAAGCGAGCTATTTCAAGCAACAGGACACCTTTGTTCCGAGCGTGTTCTAAGCTTATTTATTGCATAATGATTTTTACAGACGCGATTGTTTGTATGCGTAGAGAAATATATATGTTTTTTTCTCACTTGAATATGCATACCTGTCGAGGCAATAATTAATGTCTGACGTTGCGAACGACTTTTTTTAGAGTTTACCGTATAAACGAGCAAAACTACGTACGTTGACTTGTAACGTAATAATTATGAACTGTTAAATATTATTATTATATATTGTTATTTTTTTATATATTGTTTTATATATATATCGTTAAATATTGTTATTTTTTTATAGATAAAGATCGATGAGTCTCAGCTTCCTCTCTTTCAATTAAATACATAGTCCTTGATTGATTTAAAAATCAAGTGGAATGTTTGTTTAAATCAAATTTAAAATAACAATTTTTTTAAAATCGATGATTCGTCGAACAAACCTTCGTTCTTGTGTATATTCAAGAACACCAGATAATATCAAAGTTAATCTTCGACCGATAAATACTTTGTTATCAAGCCAAATATGTGGATAAAGTGTTAAAACAGAGCTCATAAGAAACGTTAATACGTACAACGCATTCAAACTTGTATAATAATAGAAGCGAGAAATGAAAATCTCTCTTTTTTTCTTTCTCCCTTTCATATAATCTTCAAATGCAATTTCTTAGTCACGCTAATAAAGCATAATAAACAAACAAAATTGCATATCCAAGTGATAGTCCGATATATATATAATCGAATATCAACGAGATAAACGTTTTCCTCGAATGTTATTCGTTGTAATCAAAGGAACAACGAGTACCAATGCAAAAAGATTGCAATGCGCGATCTTGCATTACTCATCTGTGACGCATCTCGTGAGGATTGCATAGCTCCAGACCGTTTCTTTCTTTCTTCCGAATGTCCGCATACAATAAAAAACCTCCCCCCCCCCCACAAGTCTCGACGCATAGTCTACATAACTTGTTGCGTAGTCTATACAGGTTGAATCAAAAAGTAAAGTTCCTCGTTTCACGATTTTATTTACGTATATAAATTGGACTTATTATGAAATATAAATTGATGGTTATATCTTTCAATATATCCTTCGAGAAGAATTAACATTTGCCTCACCTTGGCACGAGTTCGAAGGTTCCCTCCCGGTAAAAATCCGGCTCTCGAGATGATTAAATCATTCTCGAAGAGTCATTCTGTACCGTCATCATCTGCATCATCTAGAAATAGTTTCCCTCCCCAGATATTTTTTGTAACATTTGAATAAATGAAAGTCAGAAAGAACCAGATCTCAACTGTAAGGATACTTCGTAATGTTTCAATCAAATGATTAAAAAATTATTTATTTGTATAGAGTAAAGTCTGACGTTATGAGAAGAATTTACAAGAAAAATCTCTAGACAAAAGTTTTTTTTTTTTAATTTCTTCCTTGATGATGCAAACAGAATGCTGTTGAAGAATGATTTAACCATCAAAAGCTGGATTTTGACCGGAAGGGAATCTTCAAATTCGCTCCAACAAGGTGGGATAAGTGTCAATCTTCTCGAAGACTGTATTGAAAAATAGTCATTAGCTTCTATTTTAACACAATAAATCCAATTTACGCAGAAGTGGTAAATAAAAATCGTAATAGAATCTTACTCTCTGATCCTCTCTAGTAATACATACCATGTAATTCGTACAATATCGAAGCAAAGTGGAATTTAATTCCCATAATCACGTTCATCTACGTAGATCACTTTGCAAATGGGAAAATCTCTATACTTACCGCAGCAGTGGTGTCGCTGATGACGACATTGAGCGGCGCTGCTTCCGTACTCGCGCACAAAGCGAGAAACGCTATCGTTGTCAGGTAGCCGTCGACGCTTGACAGTCGCGAAACAATTTTGCTCCACCTCATATTTTCGATGCAATCTCAAACTACGTCTTTGCTACGTTAACGTACACCGCGATTCTTCTCTTCTGCACAGTATTATTGCTGCTCGTCGCTCGCTCCTTTACATCCCCTTCCTTCGGAGACACTGAATACACACGTGCTTCCCGGAAACACCCTTATTGTATACCTTGACAGTCGCGAAGAGCGATGTCAGATGCGATTCATCCTAAATCAACCGACTTCAACTATTCTCCTGTCGAGGGTAAATTTTGCACGCGAGAGCTGCTAGGGAGCTGTTGACGTTACCTCTCCAATTCTGTTCGCGAAGCGGAAACACCTGTTTTCAGTCTAGCTCTGACAGCGAACCGGCAACTATACCTGACTAGCAGAGTGGTTTGAAACGTGGTTGCCACAACACTATCGATCTCGTAGCGTTTTCCTCGCTGGTGGTTCGCCACCTGTGCTCTTTCGTTCTGTTGCTCCGATTCTTCGACTTTTACGCGTATATGTGTCGCGTGAACCTCGTTCGATTTTCACCGACAGAGACCTTCCCTCGATGATCTGCTGAATTCGTTGAAACGATCGTGGAGCGAAAGGGAAAAAAATAGGAGAAAGAGAGGGAAAAAAAAAGACTGAACAGTAATAAGAAAAGATAGATCACTGTGTACGGGATAGATGTCCGCGTCAAAGGAAGAGAAGAACCGACGAGAAGCGCGCGAATGTGCGGAGCTGGTACCGAAGCCCACCGCCACTCTGAATCATAATCAGTCTGCCACTGACTTTTATTGAGATCTCCCACCAAAGCCGCGACAAACCACGACCGCCAATCGCGCACGACGGAGCTTCTACATGTGCATACGTATGTGCAACGATGCTGCGTTCGTGCGTGATAATTTGTCAAATCGGAAGTGAAGAATTGTTGCGATAGAGTACAAGTTTGTATATCTAATATCTCTGACAGATTCCCGAAATTATTTTTCAACATTATTTTAATTTAGAATTTGAAAAAAGAAATTACTTTCGCTTGCACTTCTTAAACGTTTAGAGTCTCGTAAATAGGTTTTTAGAAGATTAAAATGTGTAAAGTATATAAAAATACGTAAAAATGTAACGGAGTTACATTTACATTTGTAGATTGCTCTGAAAATTAGCGCTCAAAAATGAGCTAAACAAGTTTTATGAAGTATTTTTTTCATATAATAGGCTCTTCATTATTTTGTTAGCTTAATTATGTATTGTTTCAAGACGACCGCTCAATTATTATACACGCGAACAAATCCAGAAAATTGAAATACTATTAAACAAGACAAACACATCATCTACAAGCTTGCTAAGAAAACACAGGACGCACAAAAGAATGGAACTTTGTTGGAATAATTGTACGCATTTTCAATTTTGTGCAAGGATTGTAAAATTTATTTGTGAAAATCTTTCATGAAATGATTTGTTTGAGAGATATGAAGATGCATATATACAAGATAAATAATAACCAATTTGTCTAATTAGATTATTTTTTCGCCCACTAGATCAGACTTCTTTTTAATTTATTATTTGACATAAAAAATGTTTGACGTTTTTTTTCATTTTTTATCGAGATGAATTTATAAAAATACTCTTTTTCTCATATTTATTACATATATCTCTCGCGTTGACGGTTTATTCCTAATTTCTTAATAGATTATTGAATGATAAATGTCAAGTTTCAACAATCTTTGAGAATCGATAAAATTGTGTGTGTGTGTGTTCTATTATTTTTTTATATAGTTTCTCAATCACGTGAAGATAGTAAACGGATTCGATGATGAAAAATAGATTTGATATTTTATATGATATCCTGAAATGAGATATTAGATTTAGGCATCTAGATCTCCTTTTTATAGTTCTTAGATGAAGGAAACTTTTGTTCTGAGAGGTTGCGTGGACAACTTTGTGACTCATCCGGGTTTTAAGTTGCATGGTTTTGTTCCCGAGAATTCTTCTAACGATACCGACGACCGCAGACTTGATTCCAAACCGGGGTCGATGCATGAATTTATGTAGATAAGTGTTTGCGCAAACTTTGAGTAATTACTTAGTCATTTACTTATTATATCTGATTTGATATGTTAGATATATACAATAAGAGATATATACATGTTAGATATATACATGTTATAATAATAAGTTTTTCTTCATGCAAATTAATTAATATAATAAAATTTTGTATAAGCAATTACAATTAGTTATAAAGGGCTTGTAGAGCAAGAAAATAAATATATTACAAAAATTTAATTATGTCGAGATGTACATCAAAATAAGTCTATGTCGACGGTGACATTACAATTTGTAATTAAATTAATTAAATTAAATTAATTGAAGCAAACAATACTTATCATAATTATAATAATTTTTGGAAATGTTCTATTCCTCGTTAATCGAAGCGTGATTTATTAAGATACACGAGAAAATGTAATAAAACTTTTTTCGCCTTTTAGTGCACCGGAGAAATAAAGAATATAATTATATATTAACTGAAACCCTTGTTTCAATTGTGATTTCATACATATACGAGTATTTTTCCACTCATGCAAAATTTTATTATATTAATTTGCATGTGAAGAAACTCATTTTATATCATTGTGCATATCTAATGTACGAAAGCAGCGAATCTTTCGTAGACGAAACTTGAATGCAAACGACAGAGTACATTGAACGAATGAGTAAGCATCGGACTTTTTGGTGCGCGCGCGCGATTATGATTCGTCATTCTCCTTTTCTCCGAATCTTCTTTCCGATTTAATCCATTTGACTTTTATATTTTTTTTTTATATTTTTTTATTTATGGTAATCATGATTTTTCAATTTTCTCTTTGTTTATCTCTTACAGTTCTATCAATAATTATCATTTCAAATTCATTTTTATTGCTTTATTCATATTTTCTTCCGTGAATCAAAAACTTTCAGCCTGAAAAAAAACGTATATGATTATCATAAAATATTTTTCAAAATATAAAAAAAATGTAAACAACATGTAAGCAAAATTACAATTCTATTTTAATTTTTTTTCTCAAAAAGAAGAAAAAAATAGCTACATCAAAAAAGGATCTTGATGCACAAAATCTTACTTTTATTTTAAAAAGGGGTATTTTTTTATTTTTGTAATAGTGTATATCCGCATATGATTGAAGTGATATCATCAAGAATTTAAAATTTATATTTGTATTAATTAACTCATTTAGTTTACGACCGGTTACATAGGCTTGACTCATAATCCTTTTTGATATTTCGCGAATTCATCAGTTTTAATAAAATTTTACATACATAAATTTTTTTGTTCGTTTAATGATTTTTATAAGAGAAAAATTCTCTCTTGATTTTGAAATCAATTTATTTTCTTGAAAAATGCATTTACATAGAAACGTATTCGATAAGTTAATATCAATGATCATACGTTATTGTACGTGACGATAAGAATATAAATTATTTATTTTGCCTGCTTTCATGAATTTATTCCATAAAATGTATATATACATGTGTGTATATGTGTAGAATTACATATATAAATCTAAAAAATTCTTATATGTATGTAAAATTTTTTATTCTTTACAAATTCTTCTAATACTTAATATTATACGTTAAAGTAGAATTCTATTGGCACAAACATACATAAATATATATCGATTTAAATTATACCAAAATTTTATATATATACAAATACACTGTTATGTTCATTCAAAATAGTCATCCATCTATTATTAAAATAAAATATATTTTGTCTAATTATTTTTAATAATATAAATCTACTGTAAAGAGAGTAAAAGCAATTTCTTCCTAAGCTAGTCCTCAGGACAATGCTCCATAGGGAAAGATATATCGACAAAGACATCAGTTCGAGACGATCGCATCCCATGCCGCACCCAAAAATAATATTCCGTTGGTTTTTCGTTAACTTTTTTCTTTTATTAAGATGCGTACACTAATCCTAATCGTTTATCAATCTAGCCGACTCATCCGACCCTTTCAGTTCTTCTTAGCTTTTTTTGGTTCATCTTGGTCAAGGACATAGTCGCGTCGCATAGATTGATTCAACCTATTTTTAATAATAGAAAATGGCAAAATAATAAAGATTTTAAAATAATTTATTTATAATACTAACAACTAAATAATTTTTTAACAAATTTAAAAATTATTTATTAAATTTTAAAATTCTCTGAATTATTCGTAGGAAGTCATCCGAATGGATGACTTCCTACGAATAATTCAGAGAATTTTAAGCCGGAAATTTTTTAGATCTGTTTATATAAAGATAGATATCTACCTCTTTTTCGAAGAAATATGAAGAGTAACATTAGGTAGATTATATACAAGCTGCAGGCTACAGAAATTAACCATTGCAAACTATTAATGAAAGCTATTCATTCTGTACATTTAAGTGATTCATCAACACGCGGTTCTTCGTAGATGAACGAATACTCAAAGATATCATCCACCGTAAAATCATCTCAAGAGATCATTTCTTTCATAAAGATTTATATTATTCAACTGTAAATTCATCAGATGTGTGCTTGTGCGGAAAAATTTTGCAACATTACAAATTTCGAAGAATAGATTGCTCCCTTGGATTTGCATTAGTATCTTAGCTAAACTGGAAACGAGACTGGCGACGAATAAGTGATATATTCTTTTGATAATTTTGCAATCCATGCTTCTTGGGCAACATGTGCGTAGAAACATGATGATGGAAAATTTCCAACTTAATTTCAGGGTTGATTGATATCTTTTCTGCTTTTTCATTATAGTGCCAAATATTCGTTGAACGAAATATTAAAGAATACTTTCCTTTTACTTTCCAACAAGTCATGGTTATTCAGCGATTCTAGATAGATAAAGATCTTACAAAAAGAAATCTTTTCTTTGCTTTTCTTCTACAATGAATTCTTGAAAATAAAATGTATCATTATACAACTAAAGAAAAGAAACACGATATGATACAAAGTTATGGAAATTAACAATAGTCCTGATTATATTATGATAGCTCCCGAAAACATGCGTCGATTTCGTAAACTCGGAACCAGTTATGCAAATCGCAAAATCTTGTTGTTGTCTAAGACGTAGGAAAGTTTCGTGAGAAACCAATATTTCAGGAATCTCTCGTTATCGCTCGTTATCATTTGATTTCCATGCGTACAATGTATCGCTTCTTACATTATTAACATTCAGATTCGCGCTCTCGAACTGCAAAAATCAATCATTCCAATGCGAAAATCGTAATTATGCGCAAGGTTGATGCACGATGCATCGTATTTCCCTTTCCCGTTTGATTCACATGGATGGCACGATGGACCGCCCGAAAGGTCATCTCGTACCGACGCCGGATGAATTTGCGACACTGATCTCTTACAGCTGATTATTTTGCACTATCTTTCTATTAGACGAGAAATAATTCTCTTTATTAATTCCGCCACCGGCGGTGTTTAAATATCCGCAACTTTGTATCCGCGTAATCTCAGATCGTGAAATGAATCATTCAAAAGACTTGGCGGATTAAACGTGTAGACGTTTCTATTAAATGGAAACTTACATTAATCGACAGCATGCCCTCAATATTCGCAGAATGCAAGATTCTAACGAGTTCAAAACTAAGAATGGAATTAATCCATCTCTGACTCAAATTGTAAATTATGTTGAGAGAGAAAGAGAGAAATAGCAATGATTGCGAATTATCGATTATGGATTATCGAAATATGGATTATCGAAATATGG